ATAAATCAATGATCACTGAGCACCAAATCTCTGACTCAAGCGACATGTTGTTCATCAGTTGAAGTGGATGGTCTACCAAAGCATGTTCATCTTCGACACATTCTCGGCCTTCCTTGAATAAACTTGTACCACTTGAAATTGATGTGGTGATACTCTATCAAACATCACTTTTTTTCACATTTCCAACATTTTTGTATCATTATTTCCATTGCAAAAACAAAATTTAATGTTCTTTGCTCATTTTGAAAAATCGCAAGTGCAAAAATTCTTTACTGAGTGTAAAGAATTTTTGCAAAACAAGAATTTATTTGTGAACAAAAACAGGTGATGACATACAGATTGCAGCTAGATGTTGATGAAAGTTGTATCAAACGATGAAAAAAAAATGACAAAAGTACTCTTGCTTGTGCACAGTTTAAATGAATCATTTCCAATCCTTTTTGATCACAGTAGTATATGATGTAAGAAAGGAAAAAAAGACAAACAATACTACAACATATGCATTTTCAAAACAAGTAAATTAAAATTTAATTTGGTATAGACATTTTTCTTGACACATTATACCATAAAAACTTTTAAATCTCAAACATTTCTAATCTTATTTAAAAGCTAACTTCAGGCTATATAAGCATCTCTGTGCCAAACCTGTTGTCATGAATTTGGTGGAATGACAGAGTACTTAGGCTAAAGATCTGGTTGTTGTTCCTAAGGGAAAAGACATGGAACATAAAGGCACCCAAGCCTTAGCTATGTAGGCAAATAGTACCAGAGATACAGGTCAATTTATACTGGAGAAAGATAATCTGACTGACAAAAATCTCTAGTATTAAAGAAATATTTGTACTCAAACCAGCAGATAAAGTATATATCCACACATGGATATACATGGAAGTCAATTTGAGATTCGGTAACAATCATGCAGATGATGGAATTCCTAGTTTGTAGATAATATAAGCAAAATTTTAGACTTATTTAAACTATCTCAATATTAACCAAACTTTCCAAAGTGAATGCTTCTATAAACTATTAAAAATATATATACAAATAAATGTATATGTGGCAAGTTATTTTACAGTTAATCATTGGTTTTTAAATGTAATAAAATTTTTTAAAATTTACATCTTTTAAAATGTGTTTGAATAAAGTCAACATTAATTAAAAATTCATTATGTTCATTTTTCTTCTGTTGTGTATGTATTGTACACTAGATCAGTTATTCCATAATGTGTTACAGCTTCCCAGATAACAACAAACCACCATTCAACCAACAGCTGAAGGTAGTCTCAGACTTTTTACATGTCACACCAATAATGCTTATAACAATCAGGCCCTTAAAGAACGATACTTCATAGCATTTTCATACAAAGAAATTTCATCATCTTTCTTGGACATTTGTTCTTTAGCCTAGTTTGTTGCAGCGACAGATTTTATTTCATGCATAGTTCACATTCTTATTGTTCTTTAACAAATGCTCAATAGTACAAATAAAATATTGTACAATTCCTCTACACATTCAATGTTACAGCCAAATGACGGATTCAATGAACTGACTGAGGAGGGTATACCAATGGTCTGCACTTCTAATGTAATCATTGTCCTTTATCAAAACATTGTAAAACAGTTTTAGAACATCCAATTAGGGCAGCAATTTGCCTTTCTAATTTGCTTTCTCTACTATGATGGTAAATTTGTCATATTTCAGACTCACACAATGATTGAGGTGCTATAATTGTTTATGCCACATTTTTTTTCCAACCTATCACCTTATTCTGAAATATGTGTAATCCAGAATAATAAGTATTAATAATTTACATAAAAGTTCTTTCACCAAATCTGAATCGTTCTAAAACAGTTTTGCTGATGGCCTTATATTTATGAAACAATGCATTTGTTATAAGAGCAGAAATTAGTGATCACATTTTACTTTGCTGTATAAAATTTATTGTATATCACATTCTAATCAAATGAACAATTTTTAGTGGTGTAAAGATTAACAACTTTTATCTGTATTTTTACACAAAAATAAGGATGGTTTTATAGTTTGAAATGATAAACCATGCATATACAGTGGTACTTCAGGATACGAAATTAATCCGTTCCAAAACTGAGATCGTATCATGAAAATGTCGTAAGGTGGATCGTCTTTTCCCATACGGTTACATGTAAAACCAAATAATTCGTTCCAACGCGAAAAACATACTCAAATTAAAGCCAAGTAATACATTAAAAAAAATAACTGTAGTAAGAAAAACAAATGAAAAATGTGAACTAATGTAACGTCGTATGGTGAGATTTTGTTCGTATCGTGGAGCAAAAATATGTTCGAATTTCATGTCGTATCCTGAAAATTTCGTCTGCTGGGGCGTTCGTAACCTGAGGTACCACTGTACTTAAAAGGAAAATGTTAAAAACTAGCCACAAATCTTATGTAAATCTTAATTTATATGTTAAAAATTGTAATTTGAAAATGTAACAATTAAAATTTGAAGAAAGCTTGTAGAAATCAAACTTTATTAAAAAGAAAATATTTAAAATGATGAACTCTGCTCTTATAAAAGATTTTTAAGTTTTTTAAACTCAAGAGCCTACTAATTATCACATCACTTTATTCAGACAAGCTTGAAGCTGTAAAGTAATATATTGCATAGTCACAAAGAATGACAAATAGGATGAAAAGGTGTTTTCTGTTATGTCTCATCATCATAGTAAGTGAACAGTGGTATTTTCATCCATTATGCAGATCTTTCTACTGAGGGAATTTGGAAGAAGCAAAATAAGTTATGCCAATGAAGATTTATTCAAGACTTCATGATTTTCTTAGCATCATAAGACAGTAATAAAAAAACATCTAAAGAAGCATTTTTAAATCATATTTTGTAAATAAGAAATAATACAATCCTAGTCACACATATCGTACATCTAAACTTTTGAAAAGATGATTTTAGATTATTTTCCTATACAGTTTTGATTCTGCATTTCTGTAGCGTCTTATTTTCTTGTGAACAGTCACATGACAATGATGCTTTAAATATATGAATAAACCAATATGATATGATTATTTCCAAAGTTTCAAAATAGTCATTAATTCTTTTTGTGGAGTATTGTGAATGGGCTGTAATATTATTCTTTAAATAATAATTTACCTAAGATATTTTCAATATTTTATATACAGCCAATAATATTTTTTTTATCTAGTTCTCTTAACTGTGTATTGTAAATATGAATACAAAAGTCAAATAAGTCACTCAATATTCACACATTAAATAAAACAATTGCTTGGCTAACATCAGAGTGATTCGTTATCAAAACTGGTACTGATATTTATGTTTACTGTGTTTGACTCATCTCTTAACATAATTGGCCAAACTGCAAAATTCTGGTCAATGAATTAAAACAATATTTTCTCTATTAATAATACTCTAGAATGTTTTGATAATTTTTATAAATATATTAACAGACAGATTTTCTTAATAGCTTGCTTAAAGTTCTTATTCCCACTTTCTTAAATGAATTTTAAATAACAAATAGGACCTTTGAGACCAAAATGAGTTGTTTATTTAGTACTATTAAATTATTTTGATAATCACTTTGATATAGTGCATTTAAATAAATTCTAAATTCAATAAAAAAAAAAGCACACCTCTGAACCTTAGAAATATGATTCCAAAATAGTTTAACGCAGATATATGGAGACGATCTAAGCACAACGACCAAATCGGGACACTAGAAGCTCTCGAGATATTCAAATCGTTGCATCAATTTCAAAAGATGTACAACAATTATCTTAAGCCTGACAATCTTTATACCGAAAGAACAGTCAATTAAAAAAAATTTTTTTTAATTCTCGTTTATACGTCTTCAAATAATCTTAAGAATGTTCCATTTTCCGCATTCCATTTGAGAACACTTTAACCCGAAGATGACCACCTATGTAGATCAAAAACATTTGTTTTTTATCTGCATTAAACTATTCTGGAATTGTACTTTTAAAATTCAGAAGTGTGCTGTTTTTTTTTTTTTTCTAAATTCAAGCTTAAACTTTATATTCTATAGCAAAATATAATTTTTAAACTTACATACAGTACATAAAATCTTACAGCAGACATAAATGTTACGTATCGTTCGACTTTAATTCCGACCTAAATTTTACATTCATTTTGGAGTAAAAAGATCTACATAACTTATAAACGAGAGGGGAAAATTATCTTACAATTTAACAAAAATATCTTTTAAAAATTACAACCAACTTACTGTTACATCCTTAATGATTTTCAAGTTATATATTGATATTTTAACACAGTAAATGAAGTCTAAATTTAAAAAAAAAAAAAAAAAAGACAGAAAAGGACTGCATTCAGAGTACTTTTCCCAAACTCCTCCAGTATAAATACCGGTTGCCATATCAACTTACTGGATACATAATCTAATTAAATATACTATTAAAGTATAATTTTCATAAGAAAAATGAATAATTTAAATATATAACAACAACATATGTCTCTCTCGGAGAGTATCCTTCACAAAACTTTCTTTTTCCTCGTGCTAATGCCTCACGAGTATTTAAAATTGATTATTTTTCTTTTATCAGAAAATAATAGTACTTATTTATCACACAAAAAAAAACTCTTATTAAATCAAGATAAACGTTAAAAAACACATACACAGATAAAAATCACATAGATAAATGATTTATAATACCAAATATTCATCGTCATTTATATAATTACTTAATTAACTACAAAAATTAAATACATTTACATTTAATTATGAAATTTTACATGTTAACATCTTTGACAAGAAATCTTTTAAAATGGCGGATACAATCAAGTATTAGGTTAACCGTAACCAATTTTTACTAATTATTTCTTTATAATATATATGTTTTTTTATAAATAACGTGTTCAATTCTGTGATAGATTCTTACGTATAAAGAAAATCGGAATTTAATTTATGTAAAATATAATTTATGATGAATATTTTAACCTAACATTTCGGCTTACCTTAAGACCAGTACCTAAAACAATAGCGTCGTATTCTTCATCCATGATTTTCGTAAAGAAAAGATTTTAAAACTCTGATCCGAAATACAACTAAATTTTTTTTCCGATTTTTATCAGTGAACCAGCCACACCGCCAGCGGATGAATGGCTGCTAAAGCCCGTACAAAATGCGACCAATCGCTTCTATCGGAGGTGATGGCACTTTAATTACTGCACTCGACACGAGAGGCGCCGTCAAAAAATGGAACTAACGCTAAATTCTTAAGTGGGTGTGGTTTTAAAATTAATCGATATATCTGATGATAATTTTATTATATTTATAAAGATATTTAAAATTAATTAAATAATTTTATTATTATTTATATATAATAATATGTATTAAAAATTGTTCGTTTATTTTTATTATTTGTATTTTTTTTTTTTTTAATACAATACTGCACAATGTTGCGTATAACCAATTCTTAGTAAAAATCAATCAATGCGTATGATTTCTAAAAAGAGATATTAATATTTTTTTTTCGTTAATATTAAAGAATTACGTTATTTTAAATTACTTCTTAATTAAATCCACGTCAAATTATAGTCTACTTATTATTTACTTAATCAAAACATTTTAAATTTTGAAGAATATGGGAAATAACTTTTTGAATAAGTAGTATTTTTTTAACAATGTATTTTAGTCAGATTAATAATTAATTATTATGTTCTGGAAAAGTATATTTTATGCAAATAAAAATTAAAAATTAAATTATTTAAATTTATATTTTTGAAAATTCTAAAACTGACTTTTATTAAGTTATATGATCTTCCACAATATGGACAATGCAGTCTTTTATGTCTTATAAAATGATATTATATGAACAATACTATGATTAGTCATTAGTTATCAAGAGACAAATATCAGAAGTTCGAATAATGTCAAAGAAAGAAATCGCCCACCAGTGGCCAAGCGGTCTTCATACCCTGAACACGGAGTGTTCGGTCGTGGGTTCGCGCCTCGCTCGGACGGGCTGACCACGTGAAGTTTTCCGGGTTTTCTCCACGTCTGTAACGCATAAATAGGGTCAGTTTTTCTTAAAAAGGCATTGGCCAAGTGTTGCATTATCATAACTTAACAAACAAAAAAAGAAATCCATTGGTATGACTGCGGAATAAATTGTTTTTTCAATTTGTGAAAGCGCTTTCTGATAATTTGAATGTCGAGTGGATATGGTGCGCTGGCTAATTGAAATGAAATATTTTAAAATTAGTCTTTCGTATAGTAAAACATAGTACTGGCAAAAACCGGAAATCGATTAACCAGTTTTAAACGAAACTTGTTTTTTAATATCAGATGTCAAATCGATTTCAAAACTTGTTTGAATTCAGGTAGAATTAACATTTTATTAATATTTAAAGTACTACAGTAAATATTATCCAAAATTCACGAATATGACGCGTTAAAGAAGATATCGGTTTTTCTTTAATGTTGGTAAAATCTGGAGTCTAACTTGTAAGCAATGTTGTGAAGTCGGAGTCGGTAAAATTCTTTCGACTCTGGCGACTCCGACCCTGAATTTTACTGTTGATGAAATGTAGAGTGCGAAAAATACTTATTAATTAGCATCTAAAGACGTTTCTTTACCCATTAAAAAATTACGAAACATGGCGCGAAGTGCAGAGACAATAATAAAAAATTTATGGTATGGTTTTGAAGTGCCAAGCTTATCTTTATTAAAGAGAAACTCCCAAGTAAAAATTTGACTTTCATTTCGGGTGCCATAATACTTATTCGGCGCAATATTTTCATCTCTAATGTTTTTCTACGAATATTAATTGTTTTTGACAAATTAATTTACACTGACTTTTGGGGAGGGTCTTGACTAACAAGGAAACTTTTGTACAAACCAATTGTTATACGATTTTTCAAATAATCTTATAAATGTCCATTTTCCATTTTAACCTGAAGAAGATATCCTATGTAGATCGAAAACATTTGTGTTATGTGTATTAAACTTTTCTGGAATTTTATTTTCAAGGTTCAATTATGTTCGTTTTTATGATATAATATATTCCAGACTTAGTGTTTGAACTATATTTAGTTGTGTTGCATACGTAAAATATTAGAAGATAATTTAAATTAAACGAGTTAAACGAACAATTTTATAATTATATATATATATATATATATATTTCTCAAAAGTAAAATCGCAGACACCACGAAGGAATGCGCGTAGCCGCATGCACATTGCAAAACTGTCAGAGATGATAGAGATACGCAATAGATGAAAAGAATAAAGACAGTAGCGTAGCGTGGTGGGGGCGGCAGGAGCGGCCCGCCCCGGGCGGCAAAATTTCACAATAAACAGTAATAATATCTTGTAAAAATTTGAACCATTTTATTTCATATTTTTTCGCACCTACGATTCGGACCGATTGAAATGAGCACGGAATTTTTCATTACTTATTCTTTGACGAAACTGAATTTTAGTCTTTTAAATTGAGCTATCTAAATAAGGGGCGGCCGACACCCACGCTACGCCACCGAATAAAGATATGCAACAGATATCTGTTTTTCAGTAACGAATATGGCTCTCACAGGTAGCTATATAGTTCGCTTTATCGCGAGGAATAACTACTGTCAATAAAACGATTAATGGTTGTCTGGGATATTCCTTGCCAAGCTGCATCCACTGCGGCGTGCATGTCGTATACGGTATGTTACGGTAGTCCCCAGGGCCTCTCACGTGGGATGAGGTCCCAGAGATGTTCGATGGGCGAGAGATCCGGCGAGGCTGCCGGCCAGAAAAGGAATTCCGTTCAAGCTAGTGAGAGTTTGCTATGCGACGTGCTGTCGGGCATTATCTTGCTGGAACACCGTGTCATGTGCATCAGTGGCCGAACCACGTCCTACAATTCGTGTGATATACTGGTCCGCTGTCAGAGTACCGGAAATGTGTACCAGGGCTTTCTGCTGATCGAACATGATGCTTCTCCAATCCATGATGCCCGGTTAAAAGTGACGCTCGGTAAAAAGGGCTGGCACGTAGCGTTCCGCCACATCCGTCAACAGCTGTCATTCTCCACAGACAGAAGCGGGATTCATCCGTAAACAATTCCCGATGCCATTCAATGGTCCAGTTGCGATGACGACACCACCACCCAGGCGTGCAACCCTGTGTCGACCGATTAATGGCACATTGTTGCTGGTTGCTATGCGTGCAGTTCAACTTCATGCGATCTGTTGCAAATGGTTTTGGTGGACACAGATGTACCTGATGACGGCGACAAGTAGCTTTGTATTTCGCATGTTGTGGCAAACGAGGCTGTGAGATGGGCTGTTCGGCGAATCTGCCGGTCTGTTCGCGCTGTTGTGCGCCGATGCGATTCACTCCCTCTTCAGCGTGTTCGCAATGTTCCTGCGTCAATTGCGTCATACATCGCTGGATGGTACTTCACGTCCTGCCCGAAATTACACGATTAATTGGCGCTAATAAAGACAATAACCAAACACTTGGTTAAATGGAATGAAGAAAACTATGTAGCTGACAATGTTTCAAAATATTTAATGAAATAAACAAAAAGGATCTTGATAGAATGTTTTTTGTTTTCCAGGAACCTTGTTTTCCCTGAACGACAAGCACTGGGTACACAACGTCCTGTACACAGGCTCAGTTAGACCACTGTAGTTGTGTGTTTACAGTCTTTCATCCGCAGCAATAACATGACGTCAATGGATGGAAGGGTAGATGAACAATACTATGATTAGTCATTAGTTATCAAGAGACAAATATCAGAAGTTCGAATAATGTCAAAGAAAGAAATCGCCCACCAGTGGCCAAGCGGTCTTCATACCCTGAACACGGAGTGTTCGGTCGTGGGTTCGCGCCTCGCTCGGACGGGCTGACCACGTGAAATTTTCCGGGTTTTCTCCACGTCTGTAACGCATAAATAGGGTCAGTTTTTCTTAAAAAGGCATTGGCCAAGTGTTGCATTATCATAACTTAACAAACAAAAAAAGAAATCCATTGGTATGACTGCGGAATAAATTGTTTTTTCAATTTGTGAAAGCGCTTTCTGATAATTTGAATGTCGAGTGGATATGGTGCGCTGGCTAATTGAAATGAAATATTTTAAAATTAGTCTTTCGTATAGTAAAACATAGTACTGGCAAAAACCGGAAATCGATTAACCAGTTTTAAACGAAACTTGTTTTTTAATATCAGATGTCAAATCGATTTCAAAACTTGTTTGAATTCAGGTAGAATTAACATTTTATTAATATTTAAAGTACTACAGTAAATATTATCCAAAATTCACGAATATGCCGCGTTAAAGAAGATATCGGTTTTTCTTTAATGTTGGTAAAATCTGGAGTCTAACTTGTAAGCAATGTTGTGAAGTCGGAGTCGGTAAAATTCTTTCGACTCTGGCGACTCCGACCCTGAATTTTACTGTTGATGAAATGTAGAGTGCGAAAAATACTTATTAATTAGCATCTAAAGACGTTTCTTTACCCATTAAAAAATTACGAAACATGGCGCGAAGTGCAGAGACAATAATAAAAAATTTATGGTATGGTTTTGAAGTGCCAAGCTTATCTTTATTAAAGAGAAACTCCCAAGTAAAAATTTGACTTTCATTTCGGGTGCCATAATACTTATTCGGCGCAATATTTTCATCTCTAATGTTTTTCTACGAATATTAATTGTTTTTGACAAATTAATTTACACTGACTTTTGGGGAGGGTCTTGACTAACAAGGAAACTTTTGTACAAACCAATTGTTATACGATTTTTCAAATAATCTTATAAATGTCCATTTTCCATTTTAACCTGAAGAAGATATCCTATGTAGATCGAAAACATTTGTGTTATGTGTATTAAACTTTTCTGGAATTTTATTTTCAAGGTTCAATTATGTTCGTTTTTATGATATAATATATTCCAGACTTAGTGTTTGAACTATATTTAGTTGTGTTGCATACGTAAAATATTAGAAGATAATTTAAATTAAACGAGTTAAACGAACAATTTTATAATTATATATATATATATATATATATTTCTCAAAAGTAAAATCGCAGACACCACGAAGGAATGCGCGTAGCCGCATGCACATTGCAAAACTGTCAGAGATGATAGAGATACGCAATAGATGAAAAGAATAAAGACAGTAGCGTAGCGTGGTGGGGGCGGCAGGAGCGGCCCGCCCCGGGCGGCAAAATTTCACAATAAACAGTAATAATATCTTGTAAAAATTTGAACCATTTTATTTCATATTTTTTCGCACCTACGATTCGGACCGATTGAAATGAGCACGGAATTTTTCATTACTTATTCTTTGACGAAACTGAATTTTAGTCTTTTAAATTGAGCTATCTAANCGTACAGTAAATGGAACCACTTGGCCACTGGTGGAACTACCTATATTTCAGTTTTTTTCTGACCCACTTCTCATTGTTGATGTGTAATTTATATATATATATATATATGTAAATTCAATTAATACATTATAACATTAAAAAATCTGCTTTATTAGTTTTTTCTAGGTTTTATTTTTCATTTGTTTCAATGTTCACTGTAAATCCAACCAGATATCAAAATGATATAAAAGGAAGCAAACCAAATCAAGTGTATCTAACGTGAATTAATAACAGACACGATTATCTTCATTCTACTCTCATTCCACGTAAATCACTTCATTTGTTATTGATAATATGTACTTTTTATGTAACTAAGTTTCGATACATTAATAACAAAGATCAGGAGTGGGCAACCCACGGTCCGCATTAATATTTAAAAAATATATCAATTTCCCAATTTAAGAAAGTAGCAGCAAAAATTCTATCATTATTTTTTACAACTTAGTAAAAACGTAATAAAAAGTAAACAAGAAACAGGCTAACAGACTGATGTCAAAACTAATTTAAAACTATGTTGTTTTCGAAACCGTAATTTAAAACTAGCAGCGACTAATATTCAACAAAATATTTTGAATATATTAAGTTTGCATCGGTGACAGACGTCAAATTAAGTACACTTATGTTAATTTATGATCATATATGAATAAATAATTGCAATTCACCCTCATTTTTTTTCTTGTCTGTGGCCCACGCCAGTTCAAGTTTTAAACGTGGCCCTTACATAGAAAAACGTCGTCCATCCCCGACAAAGACGGCAAGAAACGAGTCCAGAAAATAATCACGTACCGACCTTCCACAGAACATCCGGACATAGTCGCAAATGCAAAGGTTAAGAATCACTAATTTTATAGGAATGCAGCAACTAAATGGCAGCTTTAGAAATTTTTTGCTATCGAGACAAGCTATGGTGTTCAATGATAAACAGCATAAAATTTTCCAAATAATAAAAATACTTTTTTACTTTGGATTATTGGATATATCTTACCCAAACAGGCAATACGTGTCCATTATCCCACCATTTCGGGTCCGAATTATTAAGATGGAAAGTTTCATTAAAAACCGGATCGAACATCTCGTTACCGACAATACCGTGAGATTCTTCGTACAATCCCGTTGCTATAGTGAAATGATTGGGGAAAGTTTTCGTGATAAATGCATTTTTCATCCATTTTCCCTGTACACCTTCTTCTATTAACCTATGGAAATTGGGTGTAGGAGCTTTGGTCAGGTAATCATGGCGAAACCCATCGAAAGATACGACAATTAATAACGGAATGTCTAAAGTCGCTTTGCAAACGATAAGCTCTAGTAAGAACCAACAACATACACAAACGAAATTCATGTCTTCCACATTCTACACGTGCACACGGCGACACCGCTATATAATCAATCACAAAAACGCAACTTTAATTAGCAATTATTAAAATAACTATCTATTAATATTATATCTCAAATTCCAAAAATTAAAGTTATAAATTAAGCATTATCCTGTTTAAAATGAAATTAATATCATTTAAATAGTATAGACGTTAAGATAACGTAGAGGTCGCGTTTTCAAAATGTCTGCTTCCGTCACGTAAACAACATCAGCGTGGTAAACATTTATACGAAAAAAGTTAAAATTAATCTTGTGATATTGATCCAGAAATCGAATTACTAATTTTGTTTTAGAATCTAATCTAATGGAATGGAAACCGTTATTCACGTGATCGTCTTATTTTGGGTGATTAGCCTGTACTTGTTCGGTTTATGGATATTCAGTGACGGATTTCTTCTCAAGAGAAACGAATTAGAATTAAAAAGTACATTTAATGACTCTTCGTTTAACGAAGCGACCATCGCCATCGGTTCTGAAAGTAATAAGTTTCCGGTCATATTCAATCGTTCTATCATCGTAATAGTCGATGCCTTGCGATACGACTTCGTTCGATGGTCTAAGGGCGAAAATTATTATAAAAATAAATTATCAAAAAACAACTATTTGCCCTTAGAGGGCGTTACTTGTTGTTTTCTCCATAATGTACGAAGCGTAACTCAAGCCTAATGACTACGATAAGACGATAATGTACGAAAGTCGACGACGCGATTTAGAAGGAAATAATACGTGGACGTTTTCAGATGATTTTATTAACAGAAGACGACGGGAAAGAGAAAAGATAGGAACAACAGGAGCTAAAGAGGTATGGAACCGTTCCCCAGATCGTCAAAGTGATTCTGACGAGAATGAGTTAGATGAAAGAAATGACGGTCGGAGATTCTTTAACCGAAATCACAATAAAGAAATACGAAAATCTAAAAAGAAAAGATCTAAACATAAGAAGGAGCATGCTAAATCTAAGCATAAGAAGCAAAGTAAGAAGAAATCGAAGATTAAAAAGGCCAAGAAGAAGAAGGTTACATCGAGTAGCGAAAGCAGTACCAATAGTGAGGTCGAAGAGAAGGAATACGAACTGACATTAAATCAGAAAACTAGAGAATCCTCTGATTCGGATTCGGACGATTCTTATGTTGGACCGGTTCCCAAGACTCACGTTCACCTCTCTGCAAAGGATTACGGTAAAGCCTTACTTCCTGGAGAAGGTGCAGCCATGGCAGCCTATGTTGCAGAAGGAAAAAGAATTCCTAGACGAGGAGAAATTGGGCTAACGAGTGAACAGATAGAAGCGTTTGAAGCCGTGGGGTATGTTATGAGTGGTAGCCGTCATCGTCGTATGGAAGCCGTTCGACTGAGAAAGGAGAATCAGATATATAGTGCTGATGAAAAGAGAGCTTTGGCTATGTTCAATAAGGAAGAAAGACAGAAACGAGAAAATAAAATACTCTCTCAATTCAGAGAGATGATTAATGCCAAGCTTCATGATAAATGAACATTTTTAATTAAGTTCAATGTAAATACTAAGAAAAAAAATTGTACAAACTTTTGTAATCTCAAGTATGAATAATAAAGTGTGGAAACATAAATGTTTAATTGGTTGTAAAAATCTTTATGTATTACTATATTAAAAATATGCAAAACATATTTCAACAAAGACATTTTAATGAAGATTTCACATTTATTAACATAAAATGAGTTTTTACATAAAATATAACTACACAGTTTCAATTTGAAAATGCAACATTCAAAATCTATATATCAATAACAATACTACTACTTTTCTAATAAAACATTCCAAACTAAAATAATTTTGTAGTTACTAGTACTCGTTAATGTAATATATATAACATACTAGTTTACAGTTTTAAGAATACTGTATAACAATTTTAAATATGTTTATAAAAATTTAAATATAGATGTTTCTAAATTGTAAATTACATTATAGTTCCTAAAGTAGAGTGACCATAACATTTACAATCTAAGTGGAGGCATATTTCAGAATTAGTGAAAATAGGGTCTAATACTGATTAATTTAAAAAATGACCAAAGTTCATTTTGTTTATTGATCTACAAATTGGTGATATTATATTCACATGTTAATAAAATCTTACTATTCAATTTTATGATCAAACAGGCAAAAATCAGGGAGTCTGGTCACCCTACCTAAAGTATATTGTTAACAATAACATTCAGTTCAGATTGCGACAAAAATTTTTAAGATAATCTAGAATGAAATATTAATTCTAGAACAAGAATAACAGATTATTATTTAATAATATAATTTACATTCTTTACATTACATTCTTTGTTAAGATGTATGCCAGTAATTATATTTCATTTCTCTATGAACCATATATAAAAGCAGTTGTTCCACTCCTGAAGTAATGATAATGTCAAAGTACTGAAAAGAATATTGGAATTAATAGAAAAATGAGAAGCTAAAATGTAACAACAGATATATACATTTTATACCTGAATTAAAATATTTGGTAAAAATGATGATAAGTTCATTTTTTACCAAGTTATACATAATTATTTTGTAATATTGATAGTTTCACAATTTAATCTCTTAATTTTATATTTTTACATCATTGAGCATTTTATAGAATATTTATTAACAACAATTAGCTTATGATGATGGTTATGAATTATACAGTGTAGATTATGTACAATGTTTATGTATATGTAATGAATATGACATTAAAAATTTTTAGACTAATTAAATCAACATTCAACATATGACAATAATTTTGGAAATAACTAGGTAATGATATTGATTAGCTGGATATAGTAAAAATCTAGAAATTTATTAATATGATCATAAAACTTCTAACTTTTAAATATCTATATAACACTGTAGTGTAGTAGTTAATGGAAAATCTTTAGACAAATTTTTGTATTGTATAATAATAATGTGTTTTAGATCATTTTTTCTCTTTTAGTTGTAGTATGTGCACTAATTTTCCTTTACCATATTTTTTATTATACAATAATTTAAAGCATAAAATCAAATATTTTAAATGTCTTGAACAAACAAGTTACTAAAATAAAAATTCCAGTATTTAGTCTATAAAATTTCAATTAAAAACTTTAGTAGCCCTGTATCTAGAATATACAAATACATAATTTATGCAACTTAAATAAATTATACTCATGTTATTAACTGAATTTACTTGAAAATATTTTAAGATAACTGTAAGATCTTTTTAAACTTCAACATTTCTTTAATTTTATTATACTAATATTTCATATAAAGCTTTGTATAATTAATTTTTTAAATAAATATTTACTTTTACCATTTTTGATATGTTATTAAAGAAAAATGTAGATGAAAAGGAGCTTCTAACAAATTTCTAATATGTCTCAAAATGAGTGAACTAAAAATCCATACAGTTTTATTTCGGTTCACAAATGAAACTGTATATAACTTTAAACTTTCTATACTTCAAAAGCATTAATTTTTTAAAAAAACAAAAAAGATAATTAAAGACTGTTAACTATCTGATCAATGAAGAAGTTTTATATCTGAAAATGTTAATATATATCAATATATTAACATTTTCAGATATATATATATATATATAATTTATTTATCTTAACTCCAGTAATGTGGACTTTCAGTTGTGAATGTGTCTCTTTAATCTGATTTTCAGTTCGGTAGACTATCATATACTGTATATATAGTATATGATAGTCTACCGAACTGAAAATCGGATTAAAGAGACACATTCACAACAAAATAGCAGCTGCCTTAAGTGATTTTTTGAAAGAATATTTGGACTTTCAGTGTTTTCTACAATTTTGGAGTTTGTCTTGATTTTATTTGCAAAATATTTTAATAGTAAATAGTACATAATAAATTTAGCTTATTATTATTACCACTTTCATTACTATTTTATTTTTTTGATTTACTAAATCTCTCATTCAGAAAAATAGTATGGTGCAACCTCTATATTAGTCATTAATCGCCTAAGGACCTAACGAATATAGAAACAATTTTTCTCATAATAAATAACTGATATTCAATTAATCCGTTCCCATCTTAAAAAATGGTACAAGAATAAAAATTATGTTGTTTGTAAAACTTTATTGTACTAAATACAGGTAACCCCCGTATAACACGGCACTTCTATAGCACAGGTTCACTCAAACACGGTTCGGAAATTGGGTAAAACCCTCGTACAACATGAAATGTAATAAAGGGTGCATTTTTTTATACTTCCGTGTAACTCTGCATGAGCATTCTAATTGTTTTCGTGGGTACTTTGAATACTCTTTCAACAATAATCCATTTAATGATTAAATTTTACAATTGGGACCCTTCTTTTGCCTCTAAAAGATCATTTTAGAATTATAGATTCCTTCATCATGAACTATTGATAGTGCGGGTGCTGCCATCTTTCTTTCACTGTTGTTCCTAAATGCCTACAAACAGCAGAGCGACCGCTATAAACAAACACACTCAAAAACTGTTACCAGTTGTTTAAGTAAATATTTTACCAGAGGATTATTCATCCTATATGATGATGCTCATGCTGAGATCATCATATAGGATGAATAATCCTCTGGTAAAATACTTATTTACTATTTAAGTAAATATTTTTATAATAAGTAAATAAGTAAGTAAATATGATGATCTCAGCATGAGCATCATCATATAGGATGAATAATCCTCTGGTAAAATATTTACTTAAATAGTAAATAAGTATTTTACCTATGAAAAAAAGAATAATAAATCCGATTTAAATAAGGATTTAACAGCATGTTTTTTAATTTTTGGAACCTAACCCCCCTTTTTGCACTAGTTCTTTGTTTCGTATAACACGGAAATTTTTTGGAACGTANTAAGATGTATGCCAGTAATTATATTTCATTTCTCTATGAACCATATATAAAAGCAGTTGTTCCACTCCTGAAGTAATGATAATGTCAAAGTACTGAAAAGAATATTGGAATTAATAGAAAAATGAGAAGCTAAAATGTAACAACAGATATATACATTTTATACCTGAATTAAAATATTTGGTAAAAATGATGATAAGTTCATTTTTTACCAAGTTATACATAATTATTTTGTAATATTGATAGTTTCACAATTTAATCTCTTAATTTTATATTTTTACATCATTGAGCATTTTATAGAATATTTATTAACAACAATTAGCTTATGATGATGGTTATGAATTATACAGTGTAGATTATGTACAATGTTTATGTATATGTAATGAATATGACATTAAAAATTTTTAGACTAATTAAATCAACATTCAACATATGACAATAATTTTGGAAATAACTAGGTAATGATATTGATTAGCTGGATATAGTAAAAATCTAGAAATTTATTAATATGATCATAAAACTTCTAACTTTTAAATATCTATATAACACTGTAGTGTAGTAGTTAATGGAAAATCTTTAGACAAATTTTTGTATTGTATAATAATAATGTGTTTTAGATCATTTTTTCTCTTTTAGTTGTAGTATGTGCACTAATTTTCCTTTACCATATTTTTTATTATACAATAATTTAAAGCATAAAATCAAATATTTTAAATGTCTTGAACAAACAAGTTACTAAAATAAAAATTCCAGTATTTAGTCTATAAAATTTCAATTAAAAACTTTAGTAGCCCTGTATCTAGAATATACAAATACATAATTTATGCAACTTAAATAAATTATACTCATGTTATTAACTGAATTTACTTGAACATATTTTAAGATAACTGTAAGATCTTTTTAAACTTCAACATTTCTTTAATTTTATTATACTAATATTTCATATAAAGCTTTGTATAATTAATTTTTTAAATAAATATTTACTTTTACCATTTTTGATATGTTATTAAAGAAAAATGTAGATGAAAAGGAGCGTCTAACAAATTTCTAATATGTCTCAAAATGAGTGAACTAAAAATCCATACAGTTTTATTTCGGTTCACAAATGAAACTGTATATAACTTTAAACTTTCTATACTTCAAAAGCATTAATTTTTTAAAAAAACAAAAAAGATAATTAAAGACTGTTAACTATCTGATCAATGAAGAAGTTTTATATCTGAAAATGTTAATATATATCAATATATTAACATTTTCAGATATATATATATATATATAATTTATTTATCTTAACTCCAGTAATGTGGACTTTCAGTTGTGAATGTGTCTCTTTAATCTGATTTTCAGTTCGGTAGACTATCATATACTGTATATATAGTATATGATAGTCTACCGAACTGAAAATCGGATTAAAGAGACACATTCACAACAAAATAGCAGCTGCCTTAAGTGATTTTTTGAAAGAATATTTGGACTTTCAGTGTTTTCTACAATTTTGGAGTTTGTCTTGATTTTATTTGCAAAATATTTTAATAGTAAATAGTACATAATAAATTTAGCTTATTATTATTACCACTTTCATTACTATTTTATTTTTTTGATTTACTAAATCTCTCATTCAGAAAAATAGTATGGTGCAACCTCTATATTAGTCATTAATCGCCTAAGGACCTAACGAATATAGAAACAATTTTTCTCATAATAAATAACTGATATTCAATTAATCCGTTCCCATCTTAAAAAATGGTACA